ATTAAATATAATATAATAAATAATAATATAAATATTATATACATAATATACAAATATATTTATATTATATGTTATATATGATATAAATATGCATTAATAAAATATATTATATTATATTATATATTTATTTATTTATTTATGTGGTAGATATGTAAATGTTATCAAACATAGTACCCAAATTTTTTTTAACATATATATATATATATATATATATATATATATTATTTATTTATTTATTTATGTGGTAAATATGTATATGTTATCAAATACAGTACCCAAAACTTTTTTAACATTCCAATCGGTTATCAAAGACAGTACTTAGAACTTATTTAAACAGAACAAAGCATTCAACTTTCCAAAAGATTTAAAAACATTCAACTTTTTAGAAAATATCTTTCAAAAAAACAAACACACTTTTAAGGAACAACATTTTGTCTCCTTCGAAGATAGGTCCACAATGTGCTGTAGGTAACATCCTCACATCCAATTACCACATTGTGGTATCCATTCATACTGTTGATAGCTCCAATTAATACTTTCAAAATGTAACTCCCCAATCTATTAAAAAAACGGGCAGGGGGCTGTTTTCCTACTCAATTACTCAAAAAAAAAAAAAATTTTATTTTGTACCATAAATGTCATCACCATTATGACTTTTTATAGTGGTAGTGGTCCTGGCTATTATTCCTTAAGATAAACATTATTGCTTAAGATAAGTGTTCTCATTGTATATATTTCTGTTACTTGAAAGTAACGTTACCTTGAAATATGCTTTGGTTTTTCATTATTAGTGGGCCACATTTGTTCTACTCTTGCCCAAACATGCTTTCTTTTGGAACCTTGAGTTTGTCTCCGTGCAACCTTACTTATCGTCACAACCTTATATAAACTTCTTCTTTGTTCAAATGTATTCATGTGTAACATATATTTTCCAATTTTAGAATATGGTTTGAGGTAATTCAAAGGAAAGATTTTGATATTTATTTGTGTTTTTACCAAAATTTGAATATATCAGATGTATTTTTTGAATCAGTACCAACACCTTGAAATAATATCGACAAGTGATTTGTTATCCTTCTGTTTAACTATGAAACTTGATAATACCCATCCTTAGTTATGGCCTATATTTCATGCAAAACAAAATGGAGAAAAGAAGAAAAATGGGAAGAAATTTGATACCTGAATTTCTGATTGAACACAACCATGCAAGGCCACTGTTGTGTATCCAAGGTGTCTGAGGACAGCTCCAAGCTTAACATACTGTTGCCCTGGATATGGATGACAACGTCGAGAATGTCGAGGTTCCCAGCTCGCAAACAATGCCTAAATATCTCAAAATTCAAAATTGGGGTCGAGAGCTTTCTTGATAAATAAAATCATAAACAGATAATGGGATCATATACTACAAGACCATGCACTTTAAGACTCTTTGTATGTTTGATACAGGAAGGTTATGACCATCGTTAGCTTTTCTCTTTCAACACAAAGTTCGAGCAATACTTTATGCAGACTGAGTATGGTCGATGACAATTAAAGATGATTTTGACCTTTAGTAAATAACAAAAAGAACAATGATCTTACATGACCCTCTCATACTCATGTGTGTAGGACTTCAAAGGATCATCATTAAATTTGGCGCAGATCTTTAGAAAAGTAAGTTTCACATCCATGTGATAATTTTTTTAGAGATCAATGCTAAATTTAATGATAATCTTTTGGGGTTTTACGCACATGGGTGTGGGAGGGTCTGATAGGATCATTACTCATAAATAAAAAATAAAAAAAACACAAATTACCAAAGATTCATCTGAGGATTTTGACTCCAGAATGGCTCGATAACCATTGTATATGGGATCTTCTGAGGACTCTGTGCTGATAATTTCTTGGTCCGGGTCCTCGAAGTACTTGTTCACGCAAGCTGCAAGAAATTCGAAATTTGTCTCAAGGATTTTTATTTGCATGAGAATATAGCACAATAGGGTTCATAGGTATTAGATTCTTGAGAGAGAGAGAGAGAGAGAGAGAGAGAGAGAGAGAGAGAGAGTACGTACGTACTACCTTACCTTTATTCTTTACTATTACTTTTCTTTTCTTCCTACCTACTACTAGTCGTCGTAGTTAGTTTATTAGTTGTTGTATATACTAAACTTAA